AGGAGGAGGAGGAGGAGGAGGAGGAGGAGGAGGAGGAGGAGGAGGAGGAGCGGAGCAGGAGCAGGAGCAGGAGCAGGAGCAGGAGCAGACCGAGGAGGGCCTGTAAGGTGAGCGTTTTTTTCATTCGGCGTTTCGACATTGGACGGAAAGGGGGGGGAGGGCGGGGAGGGTCTGGCTCCGGACCTCTGCTCAGTGCGACTGTTTGCAGCAGTGCGTCCTCTGGGGGAGCCTCCGCCTGCGTGAAACAGGCGCCAACAAAACAGCCAAGACTTACTCTATGGAAGGGGGAAGGGGGGGGGGTGCGAGGGCCCGCGCCGATCGGCAGAACAATGAGTAGCAAAAACGATCACGAGAGGGCCCCAAGAGGGCCCCAAGAGAGGCCCTGGGCGGGGGCGCTCGCAAGGAGCATTAGGGGGGGGGCCCTCCCCCGCAAGGTGGGCCTCCACGTGCCGCTGCTCGCGGGTAACGCCGCAAGACATCGGCGGCGCGCAGAGGGGGGGTGCGGAGGAGGGGGGGAGGCTGCTCAGGGGGGGGTCGCTTCTTAGAAGCCGCGGGCCTTTACATCTGCAGACGAGGCCCGCGCCTTCCAGGAAGCAGCCTCCTTCCAAGAAGCCTTCCCCCCTCCTCCGAATTACCCCCCTCTGCGCGCCGCCAAAGAGAGCTTCAGGGATGATCGGAGGAGCTTTGGTCGCTGCTCCCATGTCCAAATTCAAGTAACTCTTGGTATCATGTTCTCCCTCTCCCGCTCGATGCTTGCCCAAGCCCTGTCAAGTGGTGGCGCAGTGGACGTCCCGATCCAGCCTAGCCGACAGCGTATGATCTGGATGAGCCGTGCGAGAGCCCTTGAGTGGCTCATCGTCGGCTGACGAATCCTTATACAAGCTGTCTTGGACAATGAAACAGAGAAAGCTCCACCAGTCCTAAGGCACAGTAAAAATCAAAAGGTGATCAAAGGTCGAGAGGCGACTCGCAATCTGGCTTCCGTTCCACACTCCCTGACCCTGTCACCCTAAACTGCCTGTAAGCACCCGCACGGCTTTGAGAAAACACGCACGCATCGTGCTCGAACAGCTTGGATGGAAACGGTTTCTGACTGAACTCCGACGTGATCTTCGCTCGTTAACTCTCGTGGTAAATCCTCGGAATGCGCGCCCAGGCTGGATGAGCACACTCCTGGACCTGCCGTGGTCCAAAAACGATGCTCTGGAGGGCGAGATCATGCCCGAACCCTTCCAGCCAAGCTCTGGATCTCTTGTCCCTCAAGCTGCGAGGACAACTTGCTGGCATGCCGGGGCCACACGCGCACGGGCACGGCTTCATACCCGCGCCACCGGCTCGCGCGCAGCCAGGCTGCGCGATCCCCCCCGCGCGACACTCGCGGCTGGACTCACGGCAGTCGGACCGCCTGTGGCGTCAATGTGCGTTTGGTGGGGGCATTGGATCAGGCACCCTTAGGTAAGGAATCCAAGGTCTGGAAGCCAGTGGAACTCCAATCGTAGATCGGCCATGGATATCACCGCCGCCCTCATTGGATAAGGAATCCTCCAGGGTCTGGCGCCTCCTGGGACTATTCCTTGACAAACGCCTCCACCGTATGAAGGTCGGCCCAGAATGGCGGCCCCGCGGAGGCTCGCACGTCGTGTCTTGGATTGGACAACAACTGTTCGTAATCTTCGCGCTTCCACTCGCCCGATGCCGAGGAGTGTGCACCCAAGATTCCAGAACCCTCGTGTCGGATTGGACTGGGAACTCGCGCCGACCTTGTTCCCAGTCGGAGGCGGCTGGGGGTTCTGAGCTGGATAAGCCCCTTGCTCATCGAAACTGGAAACTTTTTCGAGCCACGTGCAGCTGTGATGACGGGGGGGGCCCTTTCTCACCATCTCGTGCTAGCCAGCTCCAAGCTTCCTGGAGCTCCCATTCCCTGGAGCTCTTGCTGCCTGGATCTTGCTTCCTGGAGCTCCCGCTTTGCCCATCCCGACCACTCTGCTCCAAGGAGCGCTGGGGAGCCATCGGCGGGGCCCCCCAAGTCAAACAGGGCCTTGTGAAGTGGGAGGTCGGACCCAAACTCCTCCAGAAACCGCCTGGAAGTCTTGGCCCCGAGCTGGAAAATATCACAGCCTGTGAATACCACTCGCGCCACAATGTTTTGTGCCGCATGACAAACCGCCCGGCGTCAGAGTGAAACGCGCAGAGATCGAATCAGAAAGTGTGCTACACTTGCTCCACGGGCGCCAAGAGCTCATGCCGTCTGGCACCGAATCGCGGTGCACTTTGCAACCTCTAACGTTGGGCTGGGAGGAACCTGGATCCAGCGCGAGAGAAATCTGAGAGGCCTTGCAGTTACCAGCCACTGTACCACTACCAGCGCCCTCAGCCCGAGGCTGCACCGCCCCGCTCAGAGGCACCCCTCGGAGGGATTTGCCCTCCCTTGGGGCCTCTCGGGGACCAGACGACCTCCCCCGCCCCCTCGCCACACCAAGAGGATGGATGATGAGCAAGAGGAGTAACAGAAGTCGACACAGCCCGAAGGAGCACAGTGCAGGCACCCACCGCAGCACAGTGCAGCACAGTGTCATCTCTTTGCCGCTCATCGAGGTACAGTCCTTTAGGTCGTAAGCTTCAGCAGCAGAATCATCGGGTAGACGCAACATGAGCGCCATGTGCTGGCTTTACATCAGTCATTTGAGCACTTCGACCGATGCCGCGTTCTACAGCGAAGGTCGGCTTGTCGCTTCCTTCTGGCCCCAGTGCGGACGCCTTGGCCTTGAGCCCGACGGCTTGCAGCGCAAATGCCCTCCTGTAGAGGGCGTGCTTTTCACTCACTCCACCCGTGCTCCTTGCGACAGCTGTCGGGTCAGGCGCGGAACCGAGGTTGGATCTGAGAGCTCTACACACGAGGAAGAACGCCGACCCGGCCCGAAGCAGGGTGGCGGCCAGGCACGGAGTGATTTCTCTTCGCCCGCACAAGTGAACGTTCTTTGTATTCTGCGTTCCGACATTGGGCGGAAGGGGGGGAAAAGGGGAGGGGGTCTGGCTCCAGACCTCTGCTTAGTGCGACTGTTTGGAACCGTGCGTCCAATGGGGGAGGCTCCACCTGCTCGAAAGAGGCGCCAAAAACAGCCAAGATCTACTCATGGGGGGGAGGGGGGGGTGAGGGCCGTGCCGATCGGAAAAACAATGGATGAAAAAACGATCACCAAGCGCACCTCTCGCGCAAATGCTGGCTTAGCTTGAGGCACCGAGGCCGAGGTCTGCGGCTGCAGCAACCTGGGCGACAAGCGCGGCTGCGAGCGGGGCAGGCAGCGCGACCCGCGCGCCCAATTTCCACCCCCACAAGGCGTGATCTCACCAATTTTTCTTTCACGGAGCTCACGGTGCAGTGCTTTAGCGACCTGTTAACTAGTGCTGTGTGTTCTTGTGGCTTAGTTCACCCATGTCTCGATGCAGCCCAGAACGGGCCAGTGGTAAGACTGGCTTTGGCACCAAGAGGCTGGAAATGCATATGGCTGCATACACCTGTGGAACACGCGGGGCCTCGCAGTGTATACACATGCTGGAACTGTATGCCCACATATGTACCCAGCTCCAGTGCTGGCTGACCAAATCTTGTCTACCCAACTTCCTGTGGGACCCCGCTGAATCATGTGTGCCGGGGGCCCGCAGCGGCGATAGGGCGCGGCACCGCAAGATGCAAAAGCCGCCGCCCCCGCTGATTGGAACTGCCGCCAGCCAGAAGCAAAAACAGGGAACGGCAGACCCAATCTAGTGTCTCTGGCCCACGGGCAGCTCCACGCGCGTCGGTGAGGCGTCGGGTTGAGCTCAGACGGCCCCCCAGAGCAGTCCTGGGCGGCCTCCACAGGCCCCCCGAGTAGTCCCAGCTGGCCTCAACAGAGTCCCCCGAGTAGTCTGGGGCGGTCTCAACACCCTGGCGACGCCTCTGGCGGCGCCCTTGGGGCGCTCCGAGCCCCGCTGCTGAGGCGTTGAGACCGCCTCCGACGACTCGGGGGGCCTTGCTGAGGCCAGCTGGGACTGCCCGGTGAGCCCGTTGAGGCCCGCCGGCGCTGCCGGGGGGTGGGTGGGCTGTCCGTGCGCAGCCCGACGCCTTACCAAGGGCTCCCAACTTCGCGCTTCGCGCTGCGCGAAGCGCGAAGTGCGAATGACTTCGCGCTCTCGCGTCGCCTCCCAGGGGAGAAGAGGAGGATGAGGATGATGAGGAGCCGAACCGCCAAGCGCGAACAACTTCGCGCCCTCGAGGGTGCCCTTGCCTTACCAACGCGCACATGGCAAATTCGCCGTTATGACGACAGATGTGCTGGCTTCTGACGCCACGTGGATCGCTCAGCCTAGAACGATCGCGGCTTTTCTAGTGCAAGCCGTTCGAGGTCGGCCACTTCCAGGTCACCTGCGGCATTCAACCTCAAACGCCTGCTCTGGGGTCCCCGCCGCGTCAACGCGGCGCAAGCCTACCGTACACGCGCAAGTGTTTCATCTCTTCTTTTCGGGTTCTGGGGCCCTGACACTGACTGGATTCCCTTGCTGCGGTCCTGGCTATATGCAGGATAGAAACAACAACGAATAGCCCGCTGGCATTCTTGGCATATATGGTCACGCAACTTAGCAGCTTTCGACATGTATACTGCGCTCCTGCCATCCCGAAGACACCCTTCAAACTCATGCGTGTAGCATTGATATAGACGCATTGCTGTTGGTTGAATATTATCGGTGAACTGCTCTACACCCTAGGGCCCTGCGCCCCAGCACATGGGCATCCAGCATCCAGGCACACCCAGTCCAAAGCCCAACGTACCCCAATTCGCCTCCTGGTACCTCTGTGAATCCTCCGAGCCCCCACGCAACCCTCCCCAGGAGAAGTAAAAAACTTCGATCCCTGGGCTGCAAGGCTTCGTGGTGCAAAGCGCAGGGAAATAAAGCAGAGGGAAATGGGAAAACTTAGTCCCCAATCCCCTGTGGGCTGTCACTGCGACGGCATGCGGGATTGGTTATCCAAGCGACGGCATGCGGGATTGGTTATCCACCACCTCGTCGGCCATTCCGTCGACCGTGGACCCCGTCCCCTCAGCTGAAATTTCTCCAGTGCCGTTCAATGGCGCGCAGTCGGCTTCCTCCGTGTCGCCATCCACTGGGATCATGATGAGGTCCTCTGGCGCTGGGCGGAGCCAACCGACAAGTGGACGAGACAACAGCTACATGGAAGGCGAACGTTAGGCGATGGGGCCGGCTCACAGGGGAGGAAGGATTGAACTAAACATCGGCGATGCGTCGCCGATCGATCGGCGATACGGACGCCCCATCGGGAATCCGCGCTCCTGGGCGCGGTGGGCTATCGGGCCCCTGCCCCTGCCGGCGATGGATAGGCGACGGGAGGTGGAAGCCTCTCCCCCATTTGGCCAGTCCCCAGCCTAACGTTGCCCCCGATGCATCACAGAGAGGGTGCCGTGTGTCGTGGATCCTCCCTCCCTCCCTCTGCTTTCTTGCGCCCGGCCCGAGCAGCCAGTGCGACGGGCGCACATGGAATGGCATAATTACAGCGGAGGCCCGTCCACAGAAGACCTTCCACAAGGAACCCAACCCTGAGACCCCAGGACGTCCACTGATTCTTGGTGCGGGAACGTCACGCTGTCCATGGCAGGACCATCGAAGCCCAAGAAACCCAGGGCACCCTGGAGGCAAGCAGGGTGTTTCTTGCCATGGGTCTCCACTGTAGCATGGCCACATGGGCTTCCAAAGCGGTGATCTCAGCAAGACAAAGAGACTAGAATGCAGATGTGCGTCAACGAAATCTTGCTGCTGTGCGCCTCGCGGTCGTTGAGGGCTGGCCTCCAGCGCTCCCCCGTGAGCAATCCCCTCAGTTCGTCGGCAGTGCTGGCTCCGAGATAGTGACGGCCCTCTTTCCACGCACATGTTTTTTTTCTCCATCTCACGGTGCAACGAAAACCAATCGACCTGCGCTGCACAAGTGTCGCGCTTCTCGGACATTTTTTTTGTTGTTGTTTGTGTGTGTGTGGGTGTTAATTCCTTTTCGTCAGCCATATGCGATTGCAGACACAGCTTCCCACTCGACGCGATGGCAAGCAACAACCTGAATGAACGATGCCCTCCCTGTGCCTCTGTCTCTCGTTGTGGATGTCTCACTGCCTCCCACCACAAGCGGCTTCTAACCCGCTGCGCTGCAGACAGGGAGCTGTTGACGTCGTAGTGTGTAGTACATTCTTTCTCCCTCTACGACGCCTTGCAGAACATCTGACTTTGGACGGCCCTTGCCGACCCAGCCCCCCTTCCTCCGTAGAAGTGGGAATGCGATGGCTCCAAATCTGGGCCTCGAGTGCGAAAGAGCAATTCGGACGGGAGCCCCCCCCCCACTCATCCGGATCCTCTTTCTCCTTCTCCTAATTACGCTCTTTCCCTCCTCCGTCCCCATCTCTCTCTCTCTCTCTTTCTTCCTTTCGCTCGGTGCCTTGTTTCTTGTCAATGCGGGGTCCCCAAATATCGCGACCCTGTCCCCAGGGCCAATTCTTCGTCCTGAGCCGTTTTGGACCTTCCCGGGGCCGGTCGAAGGCCCCCGGAGGCCGAAAACGGCCAACATCCTCCCGCCGTTTTTTGTTGCTTCCCCCCCCCCGGCGCGAGCATGTCTGGGTCTCTCTCTCTCTCTCTCTCTTTTTTTCTCAACTTTCTCTCTCTTTCTCGTTTTTTTTTTTTTTTTTTTTTTTTTTTTTTTTTTTTTTTTTTTTTTTTTTTTTTTTTCTCTCTCTTTCTCTCTCTCTCCCTCGGCCCCTCGCCCCCGCTCCCGTTGGCATCCGGAACGCTGTGAGGCCCTCCTGTCTCGCCATGTGCGCATCCGCATCGTCATCATCGTCATCATCTGCATCGTAAGCATCATCACCATTATTATCATTATCATCGTCATGGTCATTAGCATTAGCATCATCATTGTTACCATCGTCGTCTGCATCGTAATCAGCAATATCAGCATCAGCATCAGCATCACCATCATCATCATCATCATCATCATCATCATCATCATCATCATCATCATCATCAAAGACATCATCAACATTCTCATTAACATCGTCACGATCGTCAGCATCATCCTCACCATGATCAGCATCATCGTCATCATCTGCAACATAATCATATCATCATTATCAACATCGTCATCGTCTGCATCATATTCAACGTTATCATCATCATCCTCATCCTCATCCTCATCCTCATCCTCATCCTCATCCTCATCCTCATCCTCATCATCATCATCATCATCATCATCATCGTCTGCATCATCCGCATTCCGCTGTTCGTCAGCACCCCCTTCGTACCACTTACTTTCATCTGATATCTCCCACCCCTATCTCATCGCATTCGCATTCATAATCTTCGTCGCGCCGCGCCGAGGTTTCGGCTCGAATCAGCTCCAATTGGAAACCCTAACAAGGGCACGAATGCCTACGCGGCGAAGCTAGAGAAAGGCCCAAACTACAAGGCAAACGTAACGCCTGGATATTTACTGTGTTCCTCTCGCACTTTCCTGGGCTCAAGGTGCCGCCACTGCAGATCTCCCCACACTTAAAGCCCTTTTCGTAACGCCGCCACAACAGATTTCTCTTTGTAAAGGCTGTTGCAACATGATTAATATAGTGGGGCGTATCCATGAGAGGGATGCTGAAGAGCTGGGGCAACGCGAGGAGAGATGTATAAGGAAGTTCGTGAAGAATCCGAGAGTGAATCACCATATCAGGGAGTATCAGTGCTTGCAAAACAAAAAGCGCTGGTTGTAATCGCACAAATGAAGGGGTCTACGGGTGCGACCCTTTGTTTGCATGGTTACACCAAGGCATGGTTGATGGGTTTCCTTGTGGCTTTTTGTGCATCTCCATCATCGATTGGCAAATCGATTGTATTCTTATTGCAGGAGGGGAAGGAGGAATAGGGAGAAATCCCGAATGTATTCTCATTGCGTTCGCATTGTTTTTCCGATTGTAATCCACTGGGGGCCACAGCCGATCCCCCAAGCAGAACCCTCTCATCGCAGCCTGTACAGAGGGATTCCTTTGTGGCGGCCTTACACACGGTTTTCATTGTGGGGGGATCTGCGGTGGCGGCACCTTGGGCCCAGGAAAGCTAGAGAGGAACACAAGGAACACCAAACAAGAGCACACCTGTGTTTCCAAAAGGGAAAAATAGGAATCGCTAGGCATACCTGTGCCTGTCGGTACTCTTATGTTGCAGACGTCCCACAATCAAAAATTCTTGTGTAGCAGCCTTTACAAAGGGATTCCTGCTGTGGCGACCTCACGCAACGATTTCAAGCGAGGGGGATCTGCAATGGCCTCCACACATAAAATCCTTTAGTAACAACCTTTACACAGGGAATCCGGTTGTGGCGGCCTGACAGAAGGGTTTTCGTTGTGGGGGGATCTGCGGTGGCGGCACCTTGAGCCCAGGAAGGCTAAAGCGGAACACATAAAAAAAACATGAGGCACTGGACAACACATGTGCTTTCATAGGAAAACAACAAGAAGCCAAGAATACCTTTGACTGTCGGTACTCTTATGGCGCAGACGTTCCACAATTCAGACCCTTTTGTAGCAGCCTTTACACAAGGATTCCCTTCGTGGCGACCTCACACAAGGATTTCAAGTGAGGGGGGTCTGCGTTGGCCCCGCAGGTCGAATGCTTTTGTAACAGCCTTCCCAAAAGGGAATCACATCGTGGGAACAACTCGTCGCCCATGTCGCCCGCGCCGCCCATGTCGCCCACGGCGCGAGCGCGCGCAGCCTTTGCGCGGCGCCAGCGTTGAACGCGTAGTTTTTGCGGCGCCGACCGTGTGGGCAAGGCGTCCCGCTGCAGGGGTCGTTCGGCCGTCCGCGCCAGGGCGCCCAACTCCGCAAAAGAAAATGCGCTGGATCGGTGATCCGCTCTTTGTGATATGATTTGACAAGGGACCCAACCCTAATCCAACGGTGATCACCGAGGGCCCCAGGGCCCGAGCCGCTCGGAGACCCCAGGGCGCTCGAGGGAGGGAGGAGGAAACAGGAAGACCAGGACAAACAGTAAACAGCATGTGTTTTCACGGGAAAAAGCAGGACAAACTTGAAACACAGCGACAGTCACAAGTTTCGTTGCCTTGTCCTGTGTTTCCTTGTCAAAGCACATGGTATTTAATGCTTGTCCTGTTGTTCCTGTTTTCCTCCCCCCTCCCCTGAACGCCCTGGGGCCTCCGAGCGGTCCACGGCACTTCCTCGCAGCAGAACGGAGGAGAGGAAAACAGGAACAACAGGAACAACAGGACTCACCCTATGTTTTCACATGGAAACGCATGAAAAAGCAGCGAAGCCTGTGACTGTCGCTGTTTGTTTCAAGGTTTTTGTGTTTTTCCATGTGAGAGCATATGCTTTTTACTGTTTTTCATGTGTTTCCTGGTTTCCTCCTCCCTCCCTCGAGCGCCCTGGGGCCTCCGAGCGGGCCGCGGATCCTCCGCCCAGAATACGATTGCCTCGGGCCCTGAGGCCTCAGGTGATTACCATTCGGTTGGGATTGGGTGTTTCGCCACATCATATTACAAGAAGCGGACCACTGATCCAGATGATTTGTTCGCTGTTTGCGAGAGAAGAAGGCCTCACAACGTTCCTTTCTCCAGGGGGGGGCAACGACGGGGAGGACTGGTACGGAGGCAAGCATCGCCCTGGAATCCCCAAGGGCTCGCCGACTTCTCGCCAACCGACTGGTGGGGACCGAACCAAATGAATCCGGGTGAATGCAGAGAAATCGAGGCAGATCCCGGTAAGTCCAGGTAAATCGAGATGAGTCCGGGTAAACCCAGAGATCTCCAAGGAAAGTTGGAGCAACTTGCGGCCGCTCCAGCTTGAGTCGAAGGACGGTAGAAGCTGTTAAGCCTCTAACGATGGAATCGGCGATGCATCGCCGACATATCGCCTATAAGCCCCCGAGTGGGGCTATCAGGCCCCTGTCGGTGACCAGGAGGCGATTGGGGGTCGATGCGTCCCCCGCTGAGCCTATCCCCCCCTGTCGTTGCCCGTGATGGCGGGGGAGAAGGAAAAAACCCTGCCAACCACAAGGGGGCTTGGCAGGCCCATACATCCGAGAGAGCGCCGCCTTCTGTGCACGGTTTGCGTTTGCCAAACCTCCCCCCCCTCCCGCCCTGGAACTGGCCCCCCCCCTCCTTTCGAGAACTCCGCCCCCACCCCCATCCCTCCCCCCTCCTCTGCGGACCCCCTCGCCTCCCCGGGGGGGTGGTGAGAACCCCCCCACCCGACTTTCACTTTGGAGAAGGGGTGGGGAGAGAGGTTCGACCACTCCCCCTCGCGACTTGTGGATCCTCATCCTCACCTCCTCCTCCTCCTCCTCCCTCCTCCTCCTCCTCCTCCTCCTCCCCTCCTCCTCCTCCTCCTCCTCCTCCTCCTCCTCCTCCTCCTCCTCCTCCTCCTCCTCCTCCTCCTCCTCCTCCTCCTCCTCCTCCTCCTCCTCCTCCTCCTCCTCCTCCTCCTCCTCCTCCTCCTCCTCCTCCTCCTCCCCCCTCCGCCGCGGCGAGGCACGGAGGGGTTCGACCCCTTCGCGAATGGCGCCCGCGCGTGCGCGCTCATCTTCGCGCCCTCGCGGGGCTGCCCGAGGGAGAAGGGCAGCTCTCCGGCCGCGGCGCGCGGCGGGCGAAGCGCCACGACAGTGAAGGAGCCGATGTCCCAGAAGCAACATGGCGTCAATGCATTCTGTCGAGGAGGAGGAGGAGGAGGAGGAGGAGGAGGAGGAGGAGGAGGAGGAGGAGGAGGAGGAGGAGGAGGAGGAGGAGGAGGAGAGAGGAGGAGGAGGAGGAGGAGAGGAGGAGGAGGAGGAGGAGGGGAGGAGGAGGAGGAGGAGGAGGAGAAGGAGGAGGAGGAGGAGGAGGAGGAGGAGGAGGGAGGCGGAGGAGGTGGAGGAGGAGGAAGGCGGAGGGAGGCGGAGGAGGAGGAGAAGGAGGAATGCGGAGGAGGAAGATGAGGAGGAGGAAGGCGGATGAGGAGGATGAGGAAGGCGGAGGAGGAGGAGAAGGAGGAGGAGGAGGAGGTCGGAGGAGGAGGAGGAGAAAGGGGGAGATGGGAGAGGCGCCAGGGGCGCCGAAGCAGAGCAACCCGCGGCGTGCCATTTTTTGTTTCCTTCCTGGACGCTTGTGCAGCTACACCGTCACCAGGCCTTAGCCAGGCCAACCCTGGACTTTTGGAAATCCGCGCGCACTTCCTGGGTCGACACCGGGCCTTTTCTGGCGCGCGCGGCGCGCCAGGGGCGGCGCTGCAGGCGCCGCCAGGGGGGGCCCAACGCCGACCCAAGAAATTCAGCGGGCTTCGACACGCTGATGCTTATGCCGATTTTTGTTCCTCCCGTGAAACGCTACGGGTGACTAAGCCACATCGCGAGCCAAACGATCGCTAGGCAAACCAGGAGCACCGCACAAGCCGACCAGCAATACACAAGCTCGTGTTATGAACCGTGGGCGAACGTTTTCTTATTCGGCGTTTCGATTTTGGGCGGAAAAGGGGGGGGGAGGGGGTCTGGCTCCGGACCTCTGCTTAATGCAACTGTTTGCAACAGTGCGTCCTATGCGTGAGAGCCCACCTGCTTGAAACATGCCCCCAAAACAGCCAAAATCTACTCCATGGGGGAGGGGGGGAGGGGGGGCGAGGGCCCGCGCCGATCGTCAAAACAACGAATAAGAAAACGATCACTGGTCTGAACAACGGTACGGCTATGTTCATGCCGTTTTGTCTCAGCCGCTTATGCTCCTCGAGTGCCTCGTCCTGGCCTGGGTGGGGGGAGGCCCGCGGCGGGAAAGGCTGGGGCTGGTGGCGTCCGGCGCTGCTCTCTCTCCCGCGTGCTCTGGGGCTCGGGCTCTCAGGAGGCGGGGGGGCGGGAGAGACACGTCCTGCTCGGCGCCTGGTTGTTGCCCCGCAGCGGCGAGGCGCAAGCCCGACTGCGACCCTGCCCCGTGGTGGTGTCCTCCTCTTCCTGCTCCTCCTCCATCTCCCCATCCATCTCCTTCTCATGCTCCTCCTCCACCGCCTCCTCCTCCTCCACCTTTTCCTTTTCGTCCTCCTCCTCCCTCTCCTCCTCCTCCGCCTCCTCCTCCTTCTCCTCCTTCTCCTCTTCCTCCTCCTCCTCCTCCTCCTCCTCCTCCTCCTCCGCAGACTCCTCCGCCTCCAGCACCATTTCCTTCTACACCTCATCCTCCACCACCATGTTCTCCTTATATCCTGCTGCTCCTGCTGCTCTGCCCCACCCCCCCAACATGTCCCAAATCTTCCACCTCTTCGTCCTTTAGGAGGGCTCCGAGGATTCACCTGCGCCGATCCTGGCCGCAACCGCCTGAGCCCATGACTTGTTTCAGCCCTCGGGGCCCATGCTGCTGTTTCAGAGGCGGTCGGGCCACGGCCCGAGCATTTCGGCCATCCTGGGGGGCACCTTAAGGTACTAGTGGTTAAAGAAAAACCTCACTCACCGCTCGAGCCTCCAACCTTCAGCGGTTGAGTGGTGTCGGCGGGCGCTGGTACGCAGACTGGCGTGTTTCAGTGGAGCAGCAGTGCCAGAGGTGATGCCATGCCGCTGACACTTGTGTGCAAGTAAGAATGCACCCACAACAATTCATACTATAAATCGCGCCGTGCGAGGCCGCTCAGCAGTGGGGATGAACAAATGCCAAGGAGGGGCTTGGCAGAAGGGAAACATTAACTCACTTAACCAGAGCTCACAAAACCAATAACAACGAAGATGTCTTGAATAATTGATTACATCGTCGAGGTTGGAGATGGAGGGGCCAACATCATCGCACTGGCATCCAAAAGAGCAACCGTGCGCTGGGGAATGACATGGAAGAGACATAGTCACACCACGGGCAATACATCGAATATTAATCAAACCCAACTGCGGAACATATTTGCGGGTAACGAAACGAGCAACCTTGGACATACATGCCATACAATCCGCAATAACCTCACCCATCAACTCATGTTGCAAGATTTTCTAACAACAAATAGGTGTTCGGGAAAATCGATGTTCGAAATCCTTGCGAAACATACGGTTTTGAAAGACTCCGGCATGCGCACGCGACGCCGCGCGCGTGTCGACTTTGTCCAGTGCTTTGCAAGGGGTTCTTGAACGTTTGGGATTTTTGATAAACGAGTGTGCGCGCATACGATTTCTTGACATGGTTGAGGGGGGGGGTCGTGAACGGCACTCCCTGGGATGGTATGAGTTGAATTTCAAAAAGGGTTCATGAGGCAACATCACAAGTGCATTCTACTATCGCAAGGGGAAGCGATGAATCGGGGGATTGGGTGGCAGATCTCATTTTGTAGGAAGCAGGTTTAACTCAAGTTCACTAATGAGCTGCCAATGCCACTGCTCGCAGTGTCGGTGACGACGGTTTTGGAAGGATTTCGACATGCGCGCGCGGCCGACGGGCGCGGGTGGCCCGCATGATATTATTTGATAGGGATCGAGCTTCCCCAGCAAACGCGCAAAGGCGTCCGAATGATTTAGACATGCGCGCGAGAAGCTTCCACTTGGCTGCATGCGATCATTCGCAGATTTGAGCAATTGTATTGCATAACCATCGGTGTTTCATAGGTTTCCGGGGAAGTCGAGCTTGAATTCTTTAAAGCAACTAGCGTTGTGGATGACTGTCGGCCTGCACGCGCGTCGCCGGGCGCGTTGAGCTCGTCATACTTTTTACAAGAGGCTTTCCGAACTTCATGAGTTTTGGTAAACGAGTGTGCGCGCATAGAACTGCAGGGATGAAGGGGGGGGCGATAAACGGTCGAGCTGGGATGCCATGAACCAATACACCAAAAATTAGCCTGGCGAAGGACCCAACCATATGCAGTTGCGAGTAATGCTGGTGTGAATACCGTCTTCGGTGGATCTCCCTATGGGGCCACGAACCGTTTGAGGGGTGTGCCGACATGGGTTTGGGGGCGGCATGCGAACGTTGCCACTGGGGCCTTCGGTGGAGCTCCTCATGGGGCCACGAAGCGTGTGAGGGGTGCACCGAAGTTGGTGTGGGGGCGGCATGCGAACGCAGCCACCGGGGCCTTCGGTGGAGCTCCCTGTGGGGCCACGAAGCGTGTGAGGGGTGTGCCGAAATTGGTGTGGGGGCGGCATGCGAACGCAGCCACTGGGGCCTTCGGTGGAGCTCCCTATGGGGCCACGAAACGTGTGAGGGGTGTGCCGAAATGGGTGTGGGGGCGCATGCGAACCCAGTCACTGGGGCCTTCAGTGGAAATCCCCATGGGGCCACGAAACGTGTGAGGGATGTGCCGAAATGGGTGTTGGGGAGGCATACGAACCAGGCCACTGGGGCCTTCGGTGGAGCTCCCTATGGGGCCACGAAACGTGTGAGGGGTGTGCCGAAATGGGTGGTGGGGAGGCATGCGGACCCTGCCACTGGGGCCTTCGGTGGAGCTCCCTATGGGGCCACGAAACGTGTGAGGGGTGTGCCGAAATGGGTGGTGGGGAGGCATGCGAACCCTGCCACTGGGGCCTTCGGTGGAGCTCCCTATGGGGCCACGAAACGTGTGAGGGGTGTGCCGAAATGGGTGGTGGGGAGGCATGCGAACGCAGCCACTGGGGCCTTCGGTGGAGCTCCCTATGGGGCCACGAAACGTGTGAGGGGTGTGCCGAAATGGGTGGTGGGGAGGCATGCGAACGCAGCCACTGGGGCCTTCGGTGGAGCTCCCTATGGGGCCACGAAACGTGTGAGGGGTGTGCCGAAATGGGTGGTGGGGAGGCATGCGGACCCTGCCACTGGGGCCTTCGGTGGAGCTCCCTATCCCTATGGGGCGAAAACTGTGAGGGGTGTGCCGAAGGGTGGTGGGGACGGTGTGATGCCGAAATGGGTGGTGCATGCGAACCCTGCCACTGGGGCCTTCGGTGGAGCTCCCTATGGGGCCACGAAACGTGTGAGGGGTGTGCCGAAATGGGTGGTGGGGAGGCATGCGAACCCTGCCACTGGGGCCTTCGGTGGAGCTCCCTATGGGGCCACGAAACGTGTGAGGGGTGTGCCGAAATGGGTGGTGGGGAGGCATGCGAACCCTGCCACTGGGGCCTTCGGTGGAGCTCCCTATGGGGCCACGAAACGTGTGAGGGGTGTGCCGAAATGGGTGGTGGGGAGGCATGCGAACCCTGCCACTGGGGCCTTCGGTGGAGCTCCCTATGGGGCCACGAAACGTGTGAGGGGTGTGCCGAAATGGGTGGTGGGGAGGCATGCGAACCCTGCCACTGGGACCTTCGGTGGAGCTACGGGGCCACGAAACGTGTGAGGGGTGTGCCGAAATCGGATGATGATGATGATGATGATGATGATGATGATGATGATGATGATGATGATGATGATGATGATGATGATGATGATGATGATGATGATGATGGGAGGAGGGAGGGGGGGGAGGAGGAGGAGGTGAGGAACGCGGGGCGCCGTCTCTTCAAAACGAGGACCCAACACCACAGGATGGTTGGGAATAACGATGAAGCAGAATCGTGTGGTAATTTTTACGATTCCAAAGGGAACCGATCAACCTGCGGGGCGGGGATAGAACGTTGTTTGTTGAAGAAACGAACGATAAGCAAGATAATCTACGAGGCTCGCACAATCACACTTGCAACCATTCTGCGGCGGCGACGGGCGGCTACATGCTGGCTGGACCGACGCACAGGCCCAACTCTTCACAAGACAAGTGACAACCACTAAATACAATCACTAATGTAGTGAAAGACGGCGTGATGCCGGTATACTTGAACCTGACGTATCCGAGCACTGCGCCCCGCCTCGACACTTTTGCTCATTCCTTTTCTTCTCGACGTGCAGACGACAACCTGCCTCCACACACCACCGAGCACGGAAACGAATGCGCGTGACCCTGCCACAGCAAGTCACAGTGGCAATTCTGTCATATGGCGAGCGCGCTGCCAGACTTTGCGCTTCCGACTGCGTCACACTGGTGCGGCAATGTCTAGGGAAAACAAGCAACTACGACAATAAATGGCCCGCCCTGGAAATCCTGAATTGTCTCACGATGCCGTCTTTCGGGGGCGCATCATTTTGCCAGCCTTCCGCTGGGGGAGCCTCCGTCGTTTTGCTCCCGCCAGCCTTCCACCGGTGAAGAATTGCCAATTTCCCGGCGCCTCGAACTCGAAGGCGAGGCCCTTACCTGGAGCGTCCCAACTACGCTGAGGGCATTGGACACGGAACTCGTGGATAAGGAATCCAGGGTCTGGAAGCCAGTGGAACTTCAATTGAGACTTGGCCATGGATATCACCACCGCCCGCATCAGATAAGGAATCCTCGAGGGTCTGAAGCCTCCTGGGCACATTTCTTCACCAACGCCACCACCGTAGTGCCACCGCCCCGCCAGGAAGCTCTTGCGGGAGCGTTGCCGGCGCTTCGCCAGGCGCTCTCGTACCGCCCGGCGTTGTCTCCCTCGACGTGGCCCACATCTGCGGATCTTCCTCAGCATCAGCATGCCTCCCGCGCCCCTGGCACAAGCCATTGAATAATGTGCACCCGACGAGGAACGGGGTCGGGTGGGAAACAGGTCGTGGCATAAGCAATCGCTTGAAGCAGTCCAAATATTAATCCAAGCTGGGGCATATCACCAGGCTCGCAGCAGAGACCCACGGCCCTACAGCTCGGCATTGTAACAACTTCAACAATTCAGAACTACTGCCTGTACGATGACGATGATGATGACTATGATGATGGTGGTCGGGTGGTGGTGATGGTGATGGTGATGCCGGTGATGATGATGCTGCTGATGATGATGATGATGATGACGATGGTGGTGATGATGATAATGATGATGATGAAGAAAATAATCGTGATCGTGTTGGTGTCGGTAAGATGTGCACGTGGCACAGAAGCAACTGTGCAACTCAGACCGATATGACGGAACATCAGAGCTACTACTTCCCGACCAAACAGCCTGCAATCGCCACCGACCATCGGATAACATCTCAACAAGTATGTTTTATGCCACACCCGCGAATAACACTGACTGCCATCTTCTCTTGACACAACCGAGCTACTGACCCAACCACTTTTGACAGTCTTTAAAGTTGTTATGATACTGCCTTGAACATCAACTTCCCGACCCCTCCATGTCCAAATAATGACGCGATATCGCCAACTCATATATTCAATCTCTCTCTCTCTCTCTTCCTCTCTCTCTCTGGCCAATCGCTTCGTCATGGAAGATGCTGCCGTGTTCGCCTCGCTAACCTTGTGGCACGCTTCTCGGGGATCGTCCTCTGCATCCTGATTTCATCCATGTTCGAATACCTACATTTGCTTGCGACTGCGCCCAAGCGCAACACCACGACCTGTCGTCGCACCATTCTCAATCGCAAGGTCGCAGTCCGTGGTAAACTTTAGTGTGCTTTGCCCCATCAATGTGTCGCGGACCATCGGATACAGTTTTGTAGTTTTCACTGGACGTTGAACTTAAACTCTGCGTGTTCACACGCGCCCTTGAAGACTTGCTTGCCACAGCGGTGAACTCCTTGACCTGTCGTGCTCCTGCGCGCGATCACAACTTCCGTGGCCATCGTGCTCCGGACTGCCGTAAGCTCTCCCCGGAAAACAAACCGCGGCACTACCGATAGTTGCGCCGACCCGTACACGCCTTGGTCGTATCTATGGCCGCCCCCGTGGGAACACGTCGGTCGGAAGAAGTAGGTAGAAACATGAAGTAAGAAGGCGAATATAGCAGATCGGGTCCAGGTCCTCCCAGAGAATAACAACACACAGCAAAAGCATGCCGATTCTTACAGTAGGAAGGCGCTTGCAGTAGATTGGGACCTGGGAATCCAAAAATACCTACTTTCAACGACTGGCGTGTACCGATAGACGCGCCGACCCGTACACGCCTTTGGTCGTATCTATGGCCGCCCCCGTGGGTACGCTCAGCTGCACTCTGCTGGTTTGGACGGGGAGGAGGAGCAGGAGGAGCAGGAGGAGCAGAAGCAGAACGAGGGACGAGGAGGAGGAGAAGGAGGAGGAGCAGGAGGAGGAGCAGGAGCAGGAAGAGCAGGAGGAGCAGGAGGAGCAGAAGCAGAAGGAGGGACGAGGAGGAGGAGGAGGAGGAGGAGGAGGAGGAGGAGGAGGAGGAGGAGGAGGAGGAGGAGGAGGAGGAGGAGGAGGAGGAGGAGCACGGCGAGGAGGGCTGGTCTGCCTCTGCGCGAGGGCGCCAGAGGCTGTGGCCTGCGAGCCCCCCTCGTGCTGGGCAGGGCCCGCCCCCCCCATCCCGGAGAGCTTCAGCTTCTCCGTCACCCTGCCGGCGGAGCTCCTGGGCGAGGTCTCGAGGAACTCGATGGGCGTAGCCCGCCCGAGGTCCGTCCTCGGCGAGCACGGGCCGCGCGGCGAGGCTTATGTCGGGCGTGTCCCCCCTACAGGGGGATCTTCGACGAAAAGCAAAAAATACCACCCACATACCCCCAACATGTCAAACCATAATCAACAAACAGTCCCCAGACTATGTTTGTACTACTTTTTTTTATTTGTCGTCGAAAATCCCCTTGTAGGGGGCCTGGCCCGACTTAAGGCAAGGCAGATGTGCGAAAAGCGAGGCGTGGGATCCACCTCGGCTTCCCAAGCTGCTGCGCTGCAGAGACAGGCCCTCCAGTGAGCGCTTCTTCACTCGGCGTTTCGACACTGGGCGGAAGGGGGGGAGAGGGGGGGGGTCTGGCTCTGGACCTCTGTTTCATGCATGCGGCTGTTTGCAACAGTGCGGCCTCTGGGGGAGGGACTCCACCTGCTCGAAACAGGCACCAAAAACAGCCAAGATCCACTCCAGGGGGGAGCGGGGGCGGGGTGTGAGTCCCGCGCCGATCGGCAAAACAATGAATAAAAACACGCTCACCTATGACCCCCCCCGTCAAGGTTTACTGGGATACGTGTGATACACATGCGTTGTCTGCACGCGCATCCGCCGCCGTGCCGCGAGACGCGGAGTGGAGATTCCGCAGAATAGTGTTAGCGATCTTGAAGGTGCCCTCACCCCCAGGGTCTGGTGAGATCTGGGCGCTCTCGGGGACCCCATCGTGTCCAGAGGCCTCGGGAGCGTGGTTGGGCTTTCGCACTTTCAGCATGGCTAAGCACGGTCTCGTGGCCCGTCCTGGAGCCCTCTTGGACGCCTCAGGGGACGTCTCGGAGCTGGGGGCCGGCTCAACAGGCCAATTTTAATGAATTCGCAGAAAGTTCTTCGTATGACTTTAACATTCCTGGCTTTTCGGTCTTAACAGCGTCCCTGACGGCACAATAGGCCCCTAAAATCGCCCCCAGAAGAAGCTGAACTCACCTTTTTAACAACTCCCCACAATACGGCCCCTGAAACCGCCAGCGGGCCTCCCGAGAAGCTCCCAAGAGGCTCCCATAGGCCCCTAAGACGCTCCTGAAGGCACCCAAGGGGTCCTTGCGAGATGTCCGAGAAGGCCCACCTCTGCTTCCAAGAGGAGCTCCCACAAGGCCTCTAAGTGGTCTCTTGCCCACGACCTACGCGCTGCTTCGTATAGGAGCTGATGATGATGATGATGATGATGATGATGATGATGATGATGATGATGATGATGATGATGATGATGATGACGATGCTGATCATGCTTATGATGATGAAGAAGATGATGACGATGATGATGATGCTGATGCTGATTCTGATGATTATGATGATGCTGGTGATGCTGCTGCTGCTGCTGATGATGATGATGATGATGATGATGAGAATGCTGCTGCTGCTGATGCTGATGCTGATGATGATGATGATGATGATGATGATGATGATGGATGCACCTGTCTGGCTGACACAAAGGGTGTTTCGTCACACGGGTATGTTCGGGCCCCGTAGGACTCGGCAGATCCAGGAGTGGCCTCGCGTGCTTGGAACGGCCTCGCCTGCCTGGGGGTGAGGGCGAATCGACCCCAACCGGGAAACCAGTTTTGGTCCTCGGCTCGTGCCGCGCGTGCGGGCGAGGCGAGGCTGCGCGGGTGCTGCGACGTGTCGGTCCAGGCTGGGGTCCAGCTCGGCAGCACTTTTTTCGCCGGCAGCGAGGCTGAGCTGGCTGCACCAGTGCTAGAGCTAAACGGGGGCACCGAAAAGCGACTCGGCCAGAACGGGCAGCAAATGCCTGCACCCGCTCATGCAGGTCTGTCTCAGGCCTCCCGAGCGCCGACGCCCCGACGCTAGTTTGTCACGATCAACCAGTGCTGCTGCATCTTCTGGACCCATCTCAACACTCACCGCAGACTCTGCAGGGCAATCTATGATTTTAATCCATGATTAGTGTATGAATAAATCTATGCATGAACTCATCGTTGTTTTTATTACCCTGCGTTTTCAATACATGATCTGCACGCGGAGCATGTACTTAAAACGGCACTGTACCGAGATTCGCCCATCAAGCAGGCTCCCACGAGGCCGCCGGCTCGGCGTGAGGGCCCTCAGAATTTGGGACTGGCTTAGCCCTTTGATCCCCCAAGGCCCCCCAGCATGATGCCGACCCGACGCCGAGACGCTTTTGAAGGGGCCCGGGGACACACAGATAAATTCACACAAATGACAGGATTCCCAATATTTTCTAATATTTTCTGGGTTTTTCTCTTCCCCCCACTTCCTATATTTTCTTATATTTTCCGGGGGATCGACGATTAGTTGTGTTTGTGTTTTTTTGTTTCCCCCTCCTGAGCTTTGCCTGGCCGGAGCCGCATGCTCGCCGTTTACGGCGCCTGCCCGAGCAGGGGGTGACACGCGAAGGATGCAAAGAGGAACGACAACAAACGCCGTCGCAGCCGAGCATGCTGCGTCCGCCCAGCCTCTGGAATGGCCTCGCGAGCCACCGTGGGTGGGCCCCGTGGGCGGGGATAAAGCCCTCTCTTCATCCTGGCCAGGTTCTGGCTCCCTTCCGGCACATTGGGGAAGCAGGTGCCGAGGGACGGCGGCGGCCCCACGGGGGGGTGGAGGTGGGGTGGGGGACGGGGGAGGGGCGCTAAGCGGCTCGGATGCTATTTTCCAGGGTCTAAGATTATGCTGCTCCCATCGTACGTAAGGACCACATCACAGAAATGATTTCGAGCACCCCAAGAAAGTACCGAAACAATGTTGAAATCATGTCGCCTCCCAGGGCCCGACACGTGAGAACAATCCAATTTCGGTACTTTCCTGGTGCTCGAAATTCTTTGTGGTGGTCAAGGCTAGTGCATTGGAACATCAGAAGTAGGATCGGTTCTGGCATTGCTCAGGTGCTGGTCTCCGCGTTGCAGTGCAGGGGGTCAACGAGCTATTGTCACTCACCCGCGTGTCCTGGTCATCCGCGCGAGGACTGCCCCACACACCTGCGGCGGAGAATGCAGCGGTCGCGAGTGAGGCGGACTGCGGGAGGCTCACAGGCAACAGCTATGAGATCAAAGTGATCGGATATGCTGGCTGCCCAACATAAGCGAACGAAATGGCGGCAACATCTTCACATCATGTATGCTCGGGGGGGGGGGGGCGAGCTGAGCGTGCCACACGGCGGACGATGACCCAAACAAGCAAGGGGTGATGCATCACACCATCCTGTGTCTCACGCTCGTGAGAGCCATGACGAAGGGCGGTCGTGGGATCCAACATCAATCCTGGGATATCGAAAGAAACAGGAGGCAACATCGGGACCCCGCCGACGCAGATGATCGCCAGAACTATCAGCACCAGGCCAATGCCAGCGGATGTGGTCTCGGCCGCTTCGTTGCTGGCCAACGTGGTGGTTGTCGTCTGGATGACGCCGATGTCACCTGCGTGAATTATGCTTTCTGGATCTGCGAGCTCGCCAAAACGCGTGTCGCGCAACGTAGCTAGAGTGTAAAGCAGCAGGAATGACGAAACGGCATCTGCAAATCTCCCACGTCTCAAGCGACAACATCGTTTGTGCAACTGCGTCTGCCGCTGGAGAACCGTTTGCGAGGCCGAGCCTTCCATTGTTCAGCTTCGGACTGGTTCGGCGCATCCCTGGGACCTAGCTAACACGCAAGCAAATCAACGAGCAAAACACACAATCATACTAATCATATTATCGAATACCTGGCCGCTCCCTTCCGGATGGCTGCCGCAACATCAATCTTTCGAACAGCGTCAATCATACCCCTCCCCCGTCCGCAACATTCTGGTTGGGAATGTCCTTCAGCCAAGGACACGAAAACCTTACGCACAAGTAAGCTTGAGATGGCTCGTTCTTAGTTCCACCCTTTCGGGATTATACCACTCTGTGGTTCCGATCGCCCCGCCACTTATCCGCCTAACTCCCCTCCCTCTTCACCACTCTCCCTTCTCCCCTCCTCTCTAGCACTCCTCTCTCCTTTCTCCTTTCCGTTGTCTTCCTCGTTCTCGTCGTCGTCCTCCTTCTCGTCCTCGTCCTCCCTCAGTCTCCCTCCGCTCCTCTCCTGTCGTTTCCTCTCCTCCTCTCTCCTCTCTCCTCTCCCTGTTCTGCTGCATCACCTCCACGTCTGGTTGCAATACCTCTCTCCTCGATTCTCCCTGTCACCTCTCCCCTCTCCTGCGATCTCATCGCTCCTCCCTCTTCCTCACCTCTCCCGCGTGGCCTCTCCTCTCGCCTGCTCCCCTCGTCCCTCCCGCTCCGTCCATGCGGGCCCCCATCCCAATCCTTCCCGTCATGGCCCGTGCTGGAGGAGGAGGAGGCGGAGGAGGAGGAGGAGGAGGAGGAGGAGGAGCAGAAGGAGGAGGAGGGGAGCAGGAGGAGGAGGAGCAGGAGGAGGAGGAGGAGGAGGAGGAGGTGGAGGAGGAGGCGGAGGAGGAGGCGGAGGCGGAGGAGGCTGGGCGGGGGAGCCGCCGTGGCCTCGGCCGGCACTCCTCCGGGAAGCAGGCTCCGCAGGGAGGAAGAGGCCCCTGGAGGAGATCGCCCTGGAGATCTCCGACCAGCTTCGGGCCCCGGGAGGAGGAATGGGGGGAACGAAAAATGGCATAAACATCACACAGTGGGAAAAGCACACACACAGTGTGTTTTTTTCGCACAGTGTGTGTGTGTGTGTGTGTTTTTCCCACAGTGTGTGTCTTTTTCCCACAACATAAGAACTCGAAGGTCCGCGCGAATTTCTTGGATCCGCGCTGGAACCCCCTCCCTGGTGCGCGGAGCGCGCCAGGGGCGGCGCCGGAGGCGCCGCCGGGGGGCCCCAACGCGGATCTGAGAAATCCGCGCGGACCTCCGAGTTTTTATGTTTATGTCAGTGTTTGTCTCTCTAGGGGAGGAGGAGGAGGCCTGTCTGGACGTTCGCGATGCCGGGCACGGCCTTCACGCTCTGGACCACCGCGGCGGCGAGGGCGTCGAAGGAGCCCAGGTTGTCGGTCACGGAGCTGACGTCGATGCTGTCCTGCTCGAGGAGGGGGAGAATGGGGGGAGAGAGAGAGAGAGAGAGAGAGAGAGAGAGAGAGAGAGGGAGAGAGAGAGAGAGAGAGGGAGATATGGATCTGCCCACAGGGCCCACAGGAGGGGGGGAGGATGGAGGGGTGCCGCTCGCAAGTCAAGCTCCGCACTGTGAGTAAGCAAAACCCACGGATGACGGTACAGGGGCCTAAGTTCCGACCTTCGGCCTGCATTTCGCATGTCAGCACAGTGCGATGCGGTCTCGCCACTTTGCACCTTTGATGCGATTTTGCACACAGTGGGCTTGCTGGACCAGCGGAATCCTAAGACGAACTCGGGGCGGGTGGACATCTCGCCGAAATCTTCCGGTCACCAGAAGGATGAACTTACAGACAGCAGCGGCGCAGGCTACCCATCTGCAGCCCCACGTCCAGACCCTGTACACTTAGGTCAGGCACGCCCCCCTACAGGCGGACTTTGGACGAAAAATAAAGCATACCCCCCAAATGCTTCAAAATCCAAAAAAAATCAAACATTCGTTCCCAGTTTGTTTGACTACTTTTGAATATTCCTCCTTAGAGGGACAGGCCCGACTTAACTCTACACGGTGCTCCGGGGGTGCTCCACACGCGGCGTGGGCCACCGAGCGTGCCTCGTCGGCCTGGCCCGCTATACGCTGGCGTGGAGGAGTGCACGCTCTGGGCGGCCCGCCTCCCCGCAGTCCCCTCTCCGTGGCCTCCCTCTCCTTCCCCCCCCCCCCCCTCCTCTTCCTCCTCCTCCTCCCCTCCTCCTCCTCCTCCTCCTCTTCCTCCTCCTCCTCCTCCTCCTCCTCCTCCTCCTCCTCCTCCTCCCTCCTCCTCCTCCTCCTCCTCCTCCTCCTCCTCTCCTCCTCCTCCTCCTCCTCCTCCTCCTCCTCCTCCTCCTCCTCCTCCTCTTCCTCCTCCCCCCCCCAGCCCCCGCGGCACTACGTTTTTGCAGCTTCGCACTCCCGACCTCGGCCCTCCCGCGCCGTGCGACCGCCGCAGGCGCCACGGCGAGACGTGCAACTCGCCGGCCCGCTGGGGCCAGGAGACGACAGAACAAGACACACCCATACAGGCCTCGGAACACGTGGCGGACACTCATGCCACGCTCACCAATCAACGCCTCCCCCTCCCCCCAATTTTCAAAGTTGGCGGTGGGTCTGATGAGTTGCACTTCGACCGCGGTCCTCCGCGCGTGCCATCCTTGAACATGGGGGAAGAGGGGGGAGTGTCCATTAATCGTTTCCCGTTACCGTATCCGAGAGGGGACGGAGGGGGCTGTGGGCCCGCAACGCCAATCCTACCTGACTGCTGCTGCGGTCTCCGCTGTCCCGGCTGGCCGCTCCGGCCTGCTCCTCGAGGAACTCTTCCACGTCTGAGCACCTCCCCCCTCCTCCCCTCGCGCGGCCGCTTCCCCACTCTTGCACGCCGGACACTTCGCCTTCCGGTTGCCCCGATTAGCCTCACGTTTTGAGCCGGGACCGACCGTCCCGGCATTTTTATAATCCTACCAAGAAATGTTCTTAACACCCCCCAGATGTTCCAAAGACGAAAACAATGTTCTTAGAACGTAAGCCCGATGTGCTAAAAACAAGACAGTCCCAGCCAGAAATGCTCCGAGAACCTTCCGTGCAGACCACAACAGGTTCCTCGAACACTCTTCGCTGGGCCTCCAGGCGAGCCAGGACGCTTCGTCCCTGCTTGCACGCTGGTGCGGCCTGCCTCTGCCTCGCCGCCGACGGAGGAGGAGGAGGAGGAGGAGGAGGAGGAGGAGAAGGAGGAGGAGGAGGAGGAGGAGGAGGGGGGGGGAGGTGGAGGAGGAGGAGGAGGAGGAGGAGGAGGAGGAGGAGGAGGAGGAGGAGGGAGGAGGAGGGAGGAGGAGGAGGAGGAGGTGTGCGTGTGCGTGCGTGTGTGTTTGTGTGTGTGTGTGTGCGTGTGCGTGTGCGTGTGCGTGTGTGTGTGTGTGTGTGTGTGTGTGTGTGTTCGTTCGTCGCCAGGTGCGGGCCGGGCCCGGCCACGGCAGGGACGGGAGCGCTCTGCCCCGGCCGCCGGCGGCGTCCCCCTGGCTGCCGCCGGCCCTGCCCTGGCGCCGCCTCGGGGACTCGGGGCCGCCCGCGGCGGCCCTCGGGGGAGATCTGCCTCGTTCGAGGGGGGGGGACCGCCCGCACAACGGATCGACCCCGACCTTGATCCCCACGCCGAGTCTTCGGCAACGGTGCGCAGAAGGTTCGCAAATCTGCGGGCGTTCTGCGCACTTTCCCGCGAGTTCGACGGGAGACACCAAGTCTGGGGTAAATCAATTCTGTAGTCGATCCCCTGCTCGACTCCTCGGGCTCTCTTCAGGGCCCCTCGGGGCCATCGTACGGCGTCCTGAACGCTCTGCAAGCGAGGGGCAACAAACCTGCATAAAAACAGACTTGTGGAGCTACGCGCAGACTTCTTGGATCGGCGCTGGAGCTCCGAACACGTCTGCTTCTGCAATGTTTGGTGCTTCGACTGCAGGGGCCTCGTGGGCGCGCTGGCGCGCCTGCCGACGACCTCGTGGGGCCCTCCTGTGCCGTCCTGTGGACCGCTTGAGGCACCACGGGCCTGCCTTGGAGCCTTCAGGAGCGCTCGGGGGCTCTCTTGGGCTCCTCCAGCCCTTCTGAGCCGTCTCGGGGACTTTGCTGTGCGCTCCCGAGCCTTCGTGGAGCTCCCCTCGTCGCTCCAGGAACCTGTTTTAGCGGGTGTTTGGCTGTCTGAAGCATGTCTGAGCTCGGGCGTCAGTAGGTGTCAGACCTCTTTGGGAACAATCGCGCTCCAAGACTGCCGAGACGATCCGAAGAGTCTTCAACGTGGCCCCGAATCTCATCAAGGCCGCTCTTACACAATCCCGAGGCGGCGCAGATTGGCCCCAGACGGGCAACGATAATCCCGGGCGGCTCCAAGTGCAGGCAGTAACGTCTCGCTCTTAGTGTGGTTGCCATCCTTGATGTTTCAATTGATGTAGGCGAAGGTCTTTTCCATCAGTGTACTCTCGCGTCTGGGCGAGCGTTCGCATCTCACGCCACTGGCACAATAGAGCAGTGTGCCCCTCATGGCGACGATGAGATCTGAGGATGAGTACGGGGACGATTAGGGGGTGGAGGGAGGATGGTTAGGCTTGCGAACGAGGAAGCAGAAGACTGACGATTAATTAAGAAAAGCTGTGTGTGTGCCCCCTCATCCCCGCTGCTAGCCCTCCACTCCCTTACGCCTCCCCTCCGCTCCCATCTCTTCCCCTCAATCTTCTCTCGTGCTTTTCTTCACACACCTCTTTTTACTCTCTCTGACACTGTGAATTGATCAACCGATCCTCCTCCTGGTTCTCATCCTCATCTTCATTCTCCTCGTTCGTCCTCCACTTGCTCCTCCTTCATTATTCCCTCCTCCTCCTCCTCCTCTTCACCCTCGTCGTCATGCTTGTCACCGTACACCTCCTCGTGGTCCTCATGCTCATCGGCGTCATCCCCCTCCTCCTCTTCCTCCTCCTCTTCCTCTCCTCCTCCTCCTCCTCCTCCTCCTCCTCCTCCTCCTCCTCCTCCTCCTCCTCCTCCTCCTCCTCCTCCTCCTCCTCCTCCCCCTCCTCTTCCTCTTCCTCCTCCTCCTCCTCCTCCTTTCCTCCCCCTCATGACCAACCTCAGCGGCTTCATCCCCCGAGTCACCCCTGTTCTCATGCGGATCCCCAGCCTGAACCTCGCGTTCCCTCTCCCCGCCCTCTGGCGGGGAGGACGGGGAAGGAGCGACGCAGGGAACTGAAGGGGCTCTGGGAAACACACATAAATACACACAAATAACAGGATTCCCCATATTTTCTCACATTTTCTGGGCTTTTGTTTTCCCCTCCCACTTCCCATCTTTTTCAACATTTTCTGGGGACTCGACGATTCATCGTGTCTGTGTGCTTTGTCCCCTCCTGAGGAACGTACGAGAGAAGCGAGACGCGGACGGAGGAGGACGCGCGAACAACGAGCCTCCGCGCCCCGTGCCCGGAGGCGGGCGGCGGAGACGCGGGGAGGACCGCGGAGGGATCAGCGCCGGGGAAGCCAGGGGCGACGTTGTGCCGGGCACTTAGGTTGCCCCGGTACCCAGCACGCAACACGTAGCGTATCGGTACGGAGCTCAACACGTAGGCTGAAAACATAGCTCCGACGCGATGAATTCGCCAAAACGTGGTCCAATACGTGGAGCCAGCACGCAACGCATTGACACGGACGTCTTGAACACGGGACGTGTTGCGTTTCAGAGCAGGCGTATCGAGGCAACTAAGGTCGGGCATGCCTCCCTACAGGCGGATTTTAGTCGAAAGGTTCAGAATACCCCACCAATGATTCCCCAAAAGGTCAAACATAGCCAACACATCGTCCCCATACTGTTTTTTGACTATCTTTGAACATTCCTCCTGTAGAGGGACAGGCCCGACACAAGGATGACGAGTCAAGGCGTACGAAGAGGTGGGATTCCTGCGGGGCCCGCCGTGACTCCCGCTGCCTAGGCCAGAATAATCAAACGACCAGGGGGCCCGGTTGATCCCCCGACGTCCGGCACTTTGATGAGGGCCACCACGATCACGGAGCCGTCGATCCTCAGCACACCGCCAGTCTTCGCATCTCGAGTCCCTTGCGATCGCATCCTCTGGGCCTGTGTTCACCATCGGCCACGAGCACTTCATCAGCAATGACTGCGTGCACAGATTGGCCCAGAGCTGCAGCAGAGGGACGTGCGCGCCTTGTGGCATGCTGTCAGATGAGATGCTGCACCCCCAGAAGGAACTTTGACTCTGCCCGACTGCGCAGTACTTCTTTGCATGTTGGTGCCACTCTTTTACACGGGTCTTCTCGAATCACGATTGCCCTCCACATGGTAATACCTTATGCACTGGTCCAGGCCGAGAGCATTTCAGAACGCCGTTAAGGCGTCCATGAACCAGAATGCGGCCATCCCCCGTCAGCCCCTCCATCAATCTTGCTGCACACCCATTTCGAACGGCTCTGCGTCAATTCTCCGCCGGGCCCCTGGCCATTAGTCAAACTTGCCGGGCCTTTGCGGTAAAAACCCGGCATACCTGGGAGTAGGAACTGGCATGCTCAGACAGCGGGAGGGGGGCGAGACAGACAGAGAGAAAAAGAGAGGGACTTCGATGTATAGATACAGAAAAGGAGAAAAATAGAGAGATAATTCGCCATACATACATACATATAGAGAGAGGGACAGAGAAGAAAGCTGCAGAAAAAAAGAGAGAGCGAGAGGGAGAGAAAGAGGGATAACGAGAGAGAGAGAGAGAGAGAACGAGAGACAAAAGTGGTTGGAACGATCTAATTACGCAGAGAGAGAAAGGGAGGGAGGGAGGGAGGGAGAGAGAGAGAGAGAGAGAGAGACATAGAGAGGAATGGGTATAGCTGGAGGGAGAGACATGTGTCTAGACATATTCGATCGCACATATCATATGCAGACGCACGTATGTTTGTATGTATGTATTTCTGTCTGTCTGTCTGTATGTAAGTATAGTGTATTCATACATATCTATATATACACACGCACACATGTATTTATACGTGTGTGTGTACGCACGCATCCACATTCACGTTCCCCAACTAATGCTTGCACTTGGGGGGTCTTACTTCTCTGTGTAGGAATTGGGCTCGGGTGCGGCCCTGGAGGCCCCGTTCCCCTCCGTCGCCGCACCGTTTTTCACAATGGAAAGCCTGTGTGCGGCTTCGGCAGTCCCGTTCCCGCTCGTCGCCGCCGCTCCGTTGCACTCCCCCCCTTGCGTTGCCATCGCATTGCGTTGCAATGGTATTGCATTGCAACCGGACTGCAATCACATTGCGGTCGCATTGCTTTGAATTGCGTCTCTGTGTTGCTTTGCATTGCTTGCGTTGCGCTGCATTGATTTTTCTTGCGGTGCGCCACATCGACTGCACAACATGGATTGCAGCACCTAGGTTGCACCACATTGGCTGCGCACCGCATATATATATATGTATATGTATATATATATATATGTATATATATATATATATACCTATACGACCACCCTTCGGGTGATAAGGAGGTTCGGGGGGGGGAGGAACCAACGTCTCACTCGATCGGTCAGATTCGGGGGGGGGAGGAACCAACGTCTCACTCGATCGGTCTCACTATCGATCTCCCTATCGATCTCACTATCGGTCTCGCTCGATCGATCTCACTCGATCGATCTCACAATCGATCTCACTCGATATATCTCATTCGATCGATCTCAAAATTCATCGGACTATCGATCTCACAATCGATCTCACAACCGATCTCGCAATCGATCTCACATTCGGTTTCACTATCGATATCACTATCGATATCACAATCGAACTCACAATCAACGTCATCATCGTCATCTTCATCACCATCATCATCATCATCATCATCAACAGCATCATCATCATCGGGACACCGTTATCATCATCATCAAGTTCATCATCATCAACGTCATCATCATCATCACCAACATCATCACCATCATCGGGACACCATCATCATCACCATCACCATCATCATCATCACCATCATCATCATCATTATCAACATCATCATCATGGGCACACAGTCATCGTCATCATCATCAGCAGCATCATCATCATCACCATCATGATCCTCATCGTCGGGACACCATCATGATCACCATCGTTATCATCATCAACATCATAATCAACATCATCATCATCACGGGAACACCATCATCACCGTCATCATCTCATCATCATCACCATCAACATCATCATCAGCATCATCATCCTCATCGGGGCACCGTCCTCATCATTACCAACATCATCATCATCATTGTCATCATTATCATCATCGGGAGACCATCATCATCACCATCATCATCATCAGCATCACCATCACAATAATCATCAACATCATCGGGACACCATCATCATCATCAACATCAGAATCATCATCAACATCATCATCATCATCACCATCGTCATCTGGACACAATCATCATCATCAACATCATCATAATCATTATCATCATCATCATCGGGACACCAACATCGTAAGCATCATCATCACCATCAACATAATAATAATGCTCATCATCGTCCTCACCATCGGGACACCATCATCATCATCCTCATCGACATCATCATCATCATCAACATCTTGATCGGAACACCATCATCATCATATCGTCATCATCGTAATCATAATCATCATCAACAACATCAGCATAATCATCATCACCAGCATCAACATCATCATCACCATCATCACCTTCATCATCACCATCATCATCATCACCATCATCATCATCAGCATCGTCATCGAGACACCATAATCATCATCAGCATCATCATCATCATCAACATCATTATCGCCGGGACACCAGTTCCATCAACACCATCATCACCAACATCATCGGAATCATCATCATCATCGTCATCGGGACACCATCATCGTCATCATCATCATCAACATAATCATCATGAACATCATCATCGTCATCATCGGGACACTCTCATCATCATCGACTCCATCATCAACATCAGCATCTTCATCGGGACACCATCATCATCATCATCATCTCATCATCATCATCATCATCCTCATCATCATCACCATCATCATCTCATCATCATCATCATCATCATCATCATCCTCGCGGGACACCGCGGGACACCAGCGGGACACCGCGGGACACTGCGGGACACCGCGGGACACCGCGGGACACCGGCGGGACACCGCGGGCCACTGGCCGCCCGGAAGGGAGTCATTTGATCCGGCCGCGCCTCAACCACGCGGGACACCAGCGGGACACCGGCGGGGCACCGCAGGCCACCGGCCGCCCGGAAGGGAGTCATTTGGTCGGGCCGCGCCTCAGCCACAGGAGACTTTCTCTCGCCCGCCCACGCAGCTTCGCCTCGCCCGCGCGGCACGCACGCACACGAAACCGAAATCGATTTCCCGGTAGGGGGCATCTCCGTTCCACTTCGATCTCACCCCCTCACCTCCGATATATATATATATATATATATATATATATATATATATATATATATATATGTGCTAGCGCCCCCCCCCCAGCACCCCACCTTCGACGCGATGGCGGAGCTAGAATCAAGCTTGTCATGTTTGTTTGGATGGATGGCCGTTAGTGATGGCTTACTTCTCTTTCACCTGTTCGGTTGGATCCTGCGTGTGAATCGTTACTTGTACCTCGTCATTGCACGCGCGGAATGCGATTGCTCACGGGCTGCATATGTGCCTACATAGTGCCATACACAATGCGTTCGTAGCACTAATATTGACGTAGATGGCATATGATAGCATCCAGCAGCGACGCATGCCCACATATTTGCAGACGACAGAGAAGCTGACGACCTGCTGCGCCCATCTTTTTCGTTGCGCGAGTTCACGCAAACGAAACATCAATGGACGCGCACGTGGGGCGCGCGGAGAAGCAGCACAGAGAGCGCCGATCCAAGCTCACAGGTCATGCCCAAGATGCGTCTTCTCGAACTCATGATAAAACGCGTCGCCAATGGCAGCCCACAAATCACAGCCGCGGTTCCAATAACACCACTGTGCGGAACGGACTTTGTCTCGTAGGATTTTGCTACCAACCACCTTCTGAATCCCCGCGTGCTTGCGCACCTCACGCCAACAACGGTCTATGATCTGAGTGCCGCTCTTCACCCAAACCCTTGTTTGCTTGGCCGTCCCATCGGAAGAAGCAATAGGGACGTCGTGGTATCGCACCTTCGACAACAGTGGTTTGATCCATGCGAACTTACCGTTGACCTGCACTCTCTTCTTCGTGTGCACTACCCAATCGTGCACCACACCTGGCAGTTTCACTTTGAATGATCTGGCGCCGTCGGCGTGCAGAATGACGGAGCGGCCCTTGAGCCGCTTGGTTGCGAGCGGGCACCAATCGCAAAGCACCCGCAAAACACCCGAATGCATCCGCAAGGCACCCGGAACAAAAAAAACACACCGAACGCGTCGTGCCCAAATTTTGAAGAAGCACAGCTCAGCAACACGTGATGACGTCGTATTGAAACGTGCAAGTGCAAACAACGGTGTTCTGCGCTATGCGGCGCGTGGACCTCATTTTTGCCTGCTGGAACTCCACCAGAAAACCAAACAATGTACACATTCTTTCCCCTTTTTATAAGCCAGAAGCGCCCTCCAGGGCAGCTTAGGCGTTTGCAATCACCCTCCAAAGCGCGCAACCACACCAACGGACATGTCCATTGCTAACGCACCTGGGACGCACCCGCAAGGCACCCGCAACGCACCCGAAAACCACCCCGAACCCGTCGTGCCCGAAGTTTTGAAGAAGCACAACTCAGCAAGCAGTGATGACGTCGTATTGAAACGTGCAAGTGCAACGACGGTGTTCTGCGCCATGCGGCGCGTGAATCTCATTTTTGCCTGCTGGAGCTTCACCAACGAATCAAGCACATGCACATAATTACACCTTTTAATAAGCCAACAGTGCCCTCCAGGGCAACATAGGCGTTTGCAGTCACCCTCCAAAGCCCGCTTCTGACCTCAATGGGATTCTTTTTATGGTAGAGATCAATGATATTTTTTATGAAT